AAAACTCATTTGTTAAATACACAGTGTATAATGTTGTATATGTTTTTATAGTCTCTTAATTAGAGGGAAGAAAGCTGTGACTGAGGAAGAAAGCTGTGACTCTCTGAGCACTGCCAGATACACACCTTCACACCTGCTCCCCAAAAGAACCAGTTGTGGAATTCAGTAAGATATAGTAATATTTATTAATTCAAAAATACATAGACACAGCAAGCTCATTATCCATGACCAGCACAAACATATATTTTCTATCAGCACATGATTTAATCATACTCCTGTAGAGTGAAGCAAAATGAATTATTTTGGTTCTGTATCTATAGCCCCAGTTTGCAAAAACACTCCTGTCTTTTCTTTGAGTAGTTCTGTCAGGGTTTTAAGAATCCTTAAGTCTTTTTTTGTTTTGGAGACACATCCAGCCATGCTTAGGGCTTATTCCTGACTCTGTACTCAGGAATCACTCCTGGAAGGCCCTGGAGGACCATATGGGATGCTGGGGATTGAACCCGGGTTGGCCACGTGCAAGGCAAGCGCCCTACCCTTTGTACTCTCTCTCCAGCTGGATACTCAATCTTAACTTAGATTCTTAGTGAATAATTCCTAGTTCCTTGATTCTAAGGTTCATAAAGCATGTCAGAAAGAAAAGATACACAAAGCAAATCTGGAAGGCAACTGATCTAAGATGCCGGGACGCTGGGGTGCTGTTTTCATACTGATCTTTAAAATAACATTGGGGCGGAGAGATTGCACAGCAGGTGAAGAACGTGCCTTGTATGGGGCTGTGCCGGGTTCTGTTCCTGGAACCCCTATAAACTCCGAGTCCACCAGGAGTGGCCCCTGAGCACCGAACAAGGATTGAGCCCTGAGCACCACTTGGTGTGACTGAAATGCAAAAACAAAAACCCATCGAAATCAGAGCCACTTGGCTTTTAAGTATTGTCTGCTTTCTGTTCTATAGAGTTGGCGATATTTTTCAAAATAAAAATAATATTCTAATTGAATCTTATACATGTCTACACATTGATTTTGCTCATTTTAACCATAACAATCTAATCTGGTCAAAGGTTAAAGGAAGAATGTCAAAGTTAGACCAAATTTTCATTGACCTGCCTTCGATTTATACATTGGAACCCCTTATTTTTGCCTCCTTCTGAACATCCTACTCTTTTGAGGCCAAGTTTTTTAAGGGCAGAATTTCAATATAAAGCTTCTGATAGTAAAGAAAAAGTGTTCAATTCTTGTGCTAAACTCTAGCCAATGACTTTTGGAAGATACAATACACTGCTAATTGGTTAAATTTTTTTAAAAAAAGAGACAAAAAACATGCAAATTCTGTTTCCCTTACCTTAATAATCACTATCTAAATGATAAATGTAGAGCATAACGAGAAACCCAGAAACCAAAAACCTGGAGCCAAATGATTTTTAACTCTCCCATCTCAAAGTTACAAATTAAGAACTGGATTAGGAAAGATATGTGGAGTGTAGGTAAATGATTCTGTACCTTAGTAAAAAGCTTTTCGGAAGCACTAGGTGTTTAAAGAAACTAGGAGACAAGAACACCCTTGAGTTCTAAAACAAACCTCGGTGGACAGGATTAATGTTCAAAACAGGAACTCTTCTTAGCTGGGGAGTTTGATCAAAATGGGCCCAGGAGAGTTATTAGTTCCAGTCATGGTAACCCTGCGTTCCATCTCCCAATTTTTATGTATACCTTGCCCCCCTCAATTAGAAGCATACTACCAACTCCATGACACTAAAAATTTTTTTTCCTTTACTACTATTGTTCATACAAAAACAGCAGCACCAGAAGCTAAAAACACAAAGAATTATCCAATGACAGAGTTGTATCAAATCATTAGAAATAAAAGCTTCCTCTTCCAAATTTTTTTGGAAATTGTAGCATGTTTCTTATAAGAGACCAGTTTTCAATAAAACACTGATCATAGTTTAAGGATAACCACAGGGAACAAAGATATACAACTATCCATAGAAAGTAGATACATTGACTCCTTAGGTTAGAAACATGGAAAACACACATGTTACAATGTGCTTTTACAGTTAAGTTAGAATAAAGAAAACATTTTTTTTTTACTGATCCTAGGGTTGTTTTTGTTTTCATTTTCTCCAGCTGATTCTACCTTTTATTACCTACCTTCACTAAGCGTACTTCTGTACAAACATGGACATTTATACCAACGCACAGAGTTCAGTTCAATGCACAAACACTCTCACCACTATATTTCTCCCTATCACCTTATTTTTACTCACATGTAATTTGAGATTTTTAAATATACAATCAACTAATAGTAAATACACACTCATGTAACAAGAGCCACCGTAATTTCACTGGATATATCTTGAAATAGCTTCTGTGGTCTCCAGACACTTGTTCGGTGTTCCTCTGAAACGTCTGGAGTCTTTAACTGGCCTTCTTTGGCAAGGACTTTCTCAGAAAACCGAAGCAGTTCAAAAGCAAACCAGGAAGCTTGTAAATCTCTCCTCCTGCGATGTCAGCACTTCATTGCCGAGGATTTTAGCACAAGTGCTAGAGCAGCATCTAAAAAGCAATTAAAAAATAAAAAGCAATTAGAAGCGTGAGCAAAGATTCTACCTAAGGTACTTATAAAAATAAATTCTCTTTCCACACTTTCTCAATGTTGTGCATGCAAGAGTTGCCCTTCATCTGTGAGGGGCTTGTGCCAGGACTCGAGAGGCTGAGGGAACCACAGAGAGTGACCACATTTATAGGCCCTCTAGTGTTCTTATATCGACATACCTGTATGGAAGTTTCTAATTTCAATTTCTAAATTGGGCACAGTAGGAAACTAACTATGGTCATGACAAAGAACAATGATAGCAACATAATAAAAGCTCTAGGAAATATCCTTCAATTTGGGGGGACTCATACCTGGCAGTGCTCAGAGTTTACTCCTGGCTCTGCACTCAGGAGTGACTCCTGGCAGGTTCAGGGAACCATATGGGGTGCCAGGGATGGAACCTTGGTTGGCTGTACACCAGGCAAGAATCCTACCTACGGTACTATTGCTCCAATCCCTCGCAAACAATTTTTTAATTGTGACTAGGGCTATGCCCAGAAGTTCTTGGGGGAGGGTCACTAGAGTCACATCCAGCTATACTTAAGGACCATGAAGTGCATGGGGTCAACTCCAGGGCCTTGTATATGCAAGGCAAGTGGTCTATTATTGGAGTCACATCCCTAGTCATCCCTAGTCCTTCTGAAAAAAAAATCTGTGGTAAATACTACAAGAATGGCTGGTAATTAAAACCGGTGTGAGACAAAAAGAAAAAAAAATTTAGGATAATTTGGAACCAAATTTATTATGTGTAACATACCAACTCTTTTTTGGGAATAATTGCAAATTTTGACAAAACTGATTCAAGTTTTGCAGAACCTGTAGTTTAGATAGTTGTGTAAATTACTTACTCATAACTCATATAAAGAAACTCAAGTAAATAAATTACAAAGACTTCTCCCAAAGCCTTGGAAGGTGTCTGTGCAAATGAGGGAATAACACTTACATTTTGGGGAACCTTGCCTTACTACAGCAATAGTACAGCAGGTAGGGCACTTGCCTTGCTTGCAACCAACCTGGATTCAATTCCTGACACCCTATGTGGCACCGTATATGGTCTCCTGAGCCCTGTCAGGAGTGAACCTGGAGGGCAAAACCAAGATTAAGCCCTGAGCACCACCATGTGGGGCCAAATAAAACCAAAACCAAAAACTTCCATTTTGTTTACTGCATAGTAAATTCACATTTGACGCCATACAGGTTGTAAAATGTTTTATGGGAGTTAACAAATTAATTCCAACTAAGCAGTAATAATAATGTGACATTTTATTATCACCACATTTTATAGAATTAATGAGATAGGAGACTTAAATGGCTACACTAAGGTCACATAGCAAAGTATTACTAATAAAATATACAGCATATCTTTTTGCTTTCATTACTAATAAATATTTTAAAAGCAGATCATTATTTTTTTAAATTTATTTATTAATTGAATCACTGTGGGAAAAGCTACAAAGCTTTCAGGTTTAAGTCTCAGTCATGCAATCATCAAACACATTTCCCTTCACCAGTACTTATTTTTCACCACCAAGAACCCAAACATACTTCCCCCTCCCAACCCTCCCAATGCCTGTGAGGCAGATGAATTCTAGTTAACACTCAAAAGTAGATCATAATTTAGTATAGTGATGATTTATTCACTTTGTTATAAAAAAATTACCAAGAAATCATATACATTTTCTCGCATTGAAATCTCATAGGGAAAATGACTGGACAGATAAATATATATCTTTAAAGGGCACATACTGTCCTAAATTCATATTTCCCCATTAAATATAATGTAAGAGATTAATTTAAGAGTAAGAAAGGGCTGGAGCTATAGTACAGTAGGTAGGGCATTTGCCTTGCACACGGCTAACCCGGGTTCAATCCCCAGCATCCATATAGTCCCCCAAGCACCACCAGGAATAATTCCTGAGTGCAGAGCCAGGAATAACCCCTGTGCGTTGCTGGGTGTGACCCAAAAAGCAAACAAAACAAAACAAACAAACAAAAAAGAAGAAGAAAAATTTACTCTATAGAAAGGAATTTTATCCCAGAGACAAAAACTGTTTTTGTAAGTAGCAAAACTCGGAGGCTTAAGAGACAGTGTAGTGGGGAGGGCACTTGCCTTGCATGCAGCCCACCCTCTTTTGATCCCAGCATACATACGGTCCCCTAAGCACCCCAAGGAGTAATTCCTGAGTAGAAAATCAGAAGTAAGCCCTGAGCATCATGGGTATGGCACCAAAACCTAAAAATAAGATCAAAAAATAAAATAAAGTGGCACTACTTGAGTCCCTCAGGAGTTCTCATGGAACCCGCTGACTGGAGAATGTTTGGACTACAGAATTTGGTCTTTATCAGGCTAGACAGTATTTGGCTGTAAAGATTCACAGCTTTAAGTATGACAAATCCTACCTACCTGGTTTAGAACCAAACTGATATTCAGTGTTGGTGTTCCATCCGAGGTAAATCAGCCTCTGGATTATCTGAGAGAGGAGATCTTGATACCTAGAAAGTAATGATTAAACATTTTAGAGTTAAAAGTTCCACTCCTTTAAGGTTCCAATATTCTGGTTGTTCAATTATCAGACGTTCCAAACAAAGCTCAAGAAGCTTGCAGAAAATAATGCAGTAAGTTATATTTCAACCTCTTTGTTTATTCACAAGGTAAGAGATGCTTCCCATGTACCAGAACAGTGTGAAACCCTTATAACTAATCTCTCCTACTTATTATCAAACAAATGAAAGCCTTCTGAGAAAGAAAGAACTACATGTGAAGGAAAGAAGTCACAACATAGAGCTGTGACTTCAACATAGTGGTAGTTTCTAATTTTGTTTTTATACTTCTATGACTTTGCTCAAAGACCAGAACCTAGTCTTAGAATAGTAAAGAAGAGTAGGAAGCTAAAAGTCTGAAGGTAAAAAAAATCCCATCTTTATCGCTAGGAAAAAAAAAAGAGACTGGTCAATCCAAAAAGTACACAAGGAATGTTGTGTACTAGAGATCTAGAAAAGCGAATCCTCTAATGCAGTGTGTATCGTTTAGTTATTAAAGCCAGGGCCTCTGCGAGGTAAGTGCTCGACTGCTGAGCTATATCCCTCACCCTACCTCTGCGTCCCAGTCCTGCACACAAAGGATAGCTCTAAAACAGTATAACAAAAAACCCAGAAAATTGAACTAAGATCTGAATTATCTGAACGAGTCTCTGACTGACCCCCAAACAATACAAGTGCAGGAAAGATGCTAATTTGAATAAGAAAAAATTTGGAAACTAAGATTTGAACCACCTTGCATAGAAAGTAAGGCAGAACTTTTAGGATAAACAACAGTTGGATGCCTCCTGCTGAAGCAAGCATCTCCTCACCAGTGGGGCCAAGGAGATGCTCAAAAGGCCGCGCACATACTTGGCCTGTGAGAACCTTACATTCAATCCCAGCAATGTAAGCTTGGCCCAGGAGTTGCCTTGAAGTCCCTTCAGGTATGAGCCCAAAATAAAAAAACTAAATGAAGCCCCAAATTAATAAAATTTATAACAACCCTGAGACTACCAATAGAATATTCATGATGATCTGGATAATAGTCTACAATTACAAGACATAAAACAACACAGAGAAGGGGGCAGAGCAATAGTATGGTTGGGTATTGCACAAGGCAGACCCAGGTCCGATCCTCAACATTCTCTATATGGTACCTGAAACCCACTACAGAGACAGGAGTAACTCTTGAGCACCACCCAGTGTGGTACACTCATAACAGAAAGGTAAAGTGTGATGAATTCTCAAAGGAAAAGGCAATCAACCAACATCAATCACAAGACAGCTCAACTGGAATTTTCTATGCATAGTATAAAAGGGCTGGAGCGATAGCACAGCGGGTAGGGCGTTTGCCTTGCACGCGGTGGACCCGGGTTCGATTCCTCTGCCCCTCTCAGAGAGCCCAACAAGCTTCCGAGAGTATTCCTCCGGCACGCTTTGCCAAGCTACCTGTGACGTATTCGATATGCTAAAAACAGTAACAACAAGTCTCACAATGAAGACATTACTGGGCCCGCTGGAGCAAATCGATAAACAATGAGAGGACAGTGCTACAGTGCTACAGTAATAAAAGGCACACTTAAAGCAGACATTATAATTATGCTACATGAAGGAAAACATAGTTGAAATTAACGAAGTGGCAGAAATAAGAATCAGAGAAGCTTTAAAGAAGAATCAAGTGGATACTTTCAGACAAAAAAAAATATATCAGCACTTAAAATTTAAAAAAAAAGATAAGTGTGTAGAGTGAAAATGACAAAGGTCAAAGAATTTGAAGATTGAGCAGTAGAAATTTCATTTTGGGTAAATTTTGGTAGCTTGTCATTTTCAAGGTTCATTTTATCCAAATTTCTAAAAATTTATGTTCATTGTTTCTTATGATCCTTCTAATACTTGGTGGGGTCTGTAGCAATACCTTTGAGTTGTTTTTTTTTTTGTTTTTGTTTTTTTTTTCTTTCTGGGTCACAGCCAGAGATGCTCAGGGGTCATTCTCATTCCTTGCTCTGTACTCAGGAATCACTCCTGGCAGTGCTTGGGGGACCAGATGGGATGCCGGGGATTGAACCCAGGTTGGCTGCGTGCAAAGCAAACGCCCTACCCGCTGCGTTATCACTCCGGCCCCTGAGTTTTATTTCTGATATGGATAACTTGCCTCTTCTCTTTTCCCCCTTTTCAGTCTTGTTAGAGGTTTATCCGTTTTACTCATCTAAAAACCTTTCAGAGTCATTAATTTTTCTACGTTGTTTTTATGGTTTCAATCGGTTGGTTTTGGCTCTTAAATTTCTTTTTTAGAGCAGGAGGAATGAATAGTACAGTGGGTAAACCACTTGCATTGCATGTGGCAGATCCGAGTTCAATCCCTGGCACCACATATGTCTCCCCAAACCTCACCAGGAGCAACTCCTGAGTACAGAACCAAGAGCCAACCCTGAGCATCTCTGGGTGTGCCCCAACCCACAACCCTGATTTCTTATTTACCTTTTTCTCCTTGGAGTCTACTGTGATCTTCCTTTTCTATATTCTTGAAGTTAAAACTTTGGCTACTGACTTGAGAATTTGGTGGGCTAAAAAAGAATTCAAAGGGGGCGAGAGCGATAGCATAGCATGTAGGACGTTTGCCTGGCATGAAGCCTACCTAGGTCTGGACTCCAGCACCCACAAGGCCCTTGAACCTGCCAGGAGTAATCCTGGGGCACAGAGCCAGGAGTAATTCCTGAGCACCGAGTGTGACTCAAAAATTTAAAACATTTCAAAGCACTTTGTCTTCCTCTGCTAAACCAAGTCCCTACAAACTCAAATTATTCTCTGGAAGCATTTTTATAATGAAAAAGAGAGAACGGTGGCAAGGGAGAGCGGTCAAAGGGCGGGAGTGCATGCTTCATACCACATCGGGCCCCCAACCACAATAAAAGAGAAAACAAATGATGTAGACGCATCGTTCCCCTCTTTGAAAGATTAAAGTGCAAGTGAATGCAATGATACAATAAACGATCCCCAGACCTAGAGGGATATGAAAGTATAGTGAGGCAAACACAAACACAGTCTTTAGTCATTTCAGAGCGGTAACCTTCATGGGCAGCAAGGCAGTGCAGCGGTCTAGACTGGCACACGTGGGCACACGCCAGGCCACTTCCGACTTCCGGCACATGCTTCCACAAGCATCACCGGGTGTGATCCTGGGGGCCCAGCACAGTTTCGTGTCCTTGGGTCCTTGCGTTGAGCCACCAAGAATCCCGGGGGGGGGGGCTCCTGGGCATCCTGAACACCACTTGGGAGCCCCCCCCTAATAAATAATTAAATATCGATTGTTTGGGGCTGGAGCAACAGTACAGTGGGTGGAGTATTTGCCTTGCATGCGGTCAACCTGGGTTCAATGCCCAGCATCCCCGGAGCACCGCCAGGAGTAAATCCTGAGTGCAGAGCCAGGAATAACCCCTGTGCATCACTGGCTATGACCCAAAATGCAAAAAAAAAAAAAAAAAAAGGAATAACTTTATAAAATAGAAGCCAAAACATTAACACTACTACAACAATGTTATCACAATAACTATAAAATTAACTTTTATAAGCTGAAGTATGATGTAGTTATGGTACTAAGTATAAAGAACAATACAACAAAATTTCAATAGCAAAAAAATTTTTTTTATTTTTAATTTTTTGGTTGTTTTTGGGCCATATGTGGCTGTGCTCAGGACTTACTCCCAGATTTGTGCTCAGGGATCATTCCCAGTGGTGTCTAAATAACCAAAATGACTGGAGATCGAGCCTGGATCAGCTGCATGCAAAGCAAGTGTCTTACCTCTGTACTATTGCTTCAGCTTCAAACTTTTTGCAGGGGAGGGGCTGGAGTGGTAGCACAGCAGGTAGGGCGATTGCCTTGCACGTGGCTGACCAGGTTCGATTCCCAGCATCCCAAATGGTCCCCTGAGCACTGCCAGGAGTGATTCCTGAGTGCAAAGCCAGGAGTAACCCCTGAGCACCAGGTGTGACCCAAAAAGCAAAAAAAAAAACAACAAAAACTTTTTGCAGGGGAGAGAGAGAGAGTCACACCCAGCAGTGCTCAAGACCAACCCCTGGCTCTGTGCCCAGGGATCACTCTTGGTGGGGCTCAGGGGACCATATGTGGTGACTGAACCCAGGTCAGCTGCATGCCAGGCAAGGGTTTTACCTGTTGTACTATCTCTCTAGCCTCACAAGCAAAAATTTTTAGATGCCATCAGTAAACCTATCTAGTCAAGAGCAAAATCACTCTAAATACTTTACACGGGGGATAAGAGACCCCAATCCTATCCAACTCACAAAGAGTATTGTGTACCTGATATAATGCAATACTTGATGCATGAAGTTCAAGAGTGGCCAGAGAGGGAATTCGAGATTCTGAAAGATTTCTGTTCTCTTTCCTTATTAACCTGGACTGTCGAGCTAAAAAAACATAGCAATAAAAAAATTAGACTTTTTTTTATTTCTAATACTCTGTATCTGTTTTTCAGTAAGTACTTACTGTACATAATAAGTCTGTTATTTCTTAAATATTATGAAGTTTTATATTAAATGTTCTATTAAACATACATTTTAAGTAATATTAAAAAAAGCTGAGAAATTTAAATGCTATAAAATACCTAAACCTTCCAAAGCTCTTAGTTCAGGAAGATGATTATAGTTTAGTTCAGGCAAACGGACATCTGTCTTTGAGTATTCTCTTCTTTTCTTATTTGCTTGAAGAACATTCTTTTCACTGGTGACCTAATATTATCAAAATGGTTAGCACAAATGAATTAACTTCCTAGTGAGCAAAGCTTTTTCTCTTTTGTAACTATGTTCAGCTCCTAAAATTATGGAACTGAAGGACTAGGATAATACAAAATCTTAAGAGTAGTAAATAACACAGAAAAAATAATTCATTTAAATTTTTCAAATTACTTTGCATTTAATAAAAATTTCTAACAAGCGAGTTATTTGACTGCTATGAGCTTTTTCCTTCTCTGCTGATAATGATTAAAAATAGTAAAGTGAATAATAGCAGTAGTTCTTCAGTCCTGCATCTTTCTGAATTTGACCTTTTCCCAATCTACTTGAAGCTCACAGAGTCAAGATTCTTTGCCGCATTTTCAAAATAAATTTACTTTGCTAAAAGAGAGAAATCACACATATACAATTAAATTACATGTATTCATAGACATTTAAACTTGTGTCATGAAGTACACACAAGTTTAATGGCAACATGAGGTCAGAAAGACTCCTGGACTCCTCGAGTTTCATATTCTGTGAATTGTGCCACTGTGTCCCCAGAGTCTTTGGGAGTCCTATAGTGAGCTCTGGAGTTTCTCAAAAAAGAGCAATGGGCGGCAGATCTGAGTGGTGGGGTAAAATCTCAAATAATAATGGTGGGTCTGGGATCGAAATATTGAATGTAATCAAAGTAGAGAGAGAGTAATGTGGAAATCATCGGCCCCACAGGTAGGGGAAGGGTGTGGGATGGGGGTATACTGGGGTTTTTGATGGCGGAAAATGGGCACTGGTGAAGGGACAGGTGTTTCATCATTGTTTGACTGAGACTTAAACCCGAAAGCTTTGTAACTGCTCTCACAGTGATTCAATAAATAAATTTATAAAAAAAAAGAAAGAAAAATAAGGTGGCATTCATGCCCAATTCAATCAGCCTAATCAATGGCTGAATAAATAGCAATACTCCTACATTTAAAAAAAAAAGAGCAATGGCTTTCTCTCTTAAATAGAATCAGTGTGAAATTAGAAAATAAAATAGCTACATGTATTAAATTTACATATTCAAAGTGTGACAAAATATGCAAGAGATGTTTATAGTAACATATTTATTCATTATTCTCAGAATTAGGGCATGGGAGAGGGTACTTATCTTCAACCCAGTAGTTGAAGAGAGTTTAGGCTTCAGTCTGCCTCCATCAATTTTCATTAAGGAAAACTTGTATAGAATATATAAATCTTCCCCCCACTGACATTTATCTCCTTTCTGATTGCCTCTTCCAAAGGAGAATAAGCAGAGGAAAGATCTGAAAGTATCAGCCAGCAAAGATTTTCTGCAATGCCTGAATGGAACACTAATTTCAATTTCAGAAAAGTGCTATTGAGTCAGCTAGTTTGAAAAGCCTTTCTAATCAAAACAACCTTCCAAGCAGACCGGGAACGTGAACTAGAACTATCCACAAAGGAATCAGTAGGGGATACAAAAAAAAAAAAAAAAAGAAAAGTGCTATGAATATAGAAAACTTAGGATGGGGATAATAAAAAGACAAACAAATGTAATATCTAAATTATGAGACATTAAAGAAAAAGAATAAAATTTTCAAATGGCAATACTCCCCAAAGCATTATGCAGATTTAATGTGGTCCCTATAAGGATACCCATGACATTCTTCAAAGAAATAGACAAAAAACTCCTGAAATTCATATGGAACAATAAAGCCCCATGAATAGCTAAAGCAATCCTTGGGAAAAAGAAGATGGGTGGCATCACCTTCTCCAACTTCAAACAGTACAAAGCAGTAGTAATTAATATAGTATGGTATTGGAATAGAAATAGATCACAGACCAATGGAACAGGGTTGAATATTCCACAGGCTCTCAAATATATGATCACTTAATCTTTGATAAAGGAGCAACAAAAGTGAAGTGGAGCAAGGAAAGCCTCTTCAACAAATGGCGCTGGGAAAATTGGATAGCAACTTGCAAAAAATTGAACTCAGACCTCTGTCTAATGCCAGGCACAAAAGTCAGGTCAAAGTGTATTAAAGAACTTAATATCAGACCTGAATCCATAAGGTACATAGAGGAAAATAAAGGCAGAACCCTCCATGACACTGAAACTAAAGGCACCTTTAAGGATGAAACACTTCTGACCAAGCAAGTGGAGACAAACATAGACAAAGGGGACTACTTTAAACTAAGAAGCTTCTGCACCACAAAAGAAACAGTGACCAAAATACTAAAAGAGCCCACTGAATGGGAAAAATTATTTACCCAATACGCATCAGATGGGCTGGAGCAATAGCATAGCGGGTAGGGCATTTGCCTTGCACAAGGCCGACCTGGGTTTGATTCCTCCACCCGTCTCACAGAGCCCGGCAAGCTACAGAGAGTATTCCACCCACATGACAAAGCCTGGAAAACTACCCGTGATGTATTTGATATGCCAAATACAGTAACAACAAGTCTCACAATGGACATGTTACTGGGCCTGCTCGAGCAAATCAATGAACACCAGGAGGACAGTGCCGCAGTGCTACCCATCAGATACCCTTATCTGATATCCAGGATATATAAGACATTAGTAGAAGTGTACAAGAAGAAATCTCCAACCCCACCAAAAAATGGGGAGTAATAATGAACAGAAACTTCCTCAAAAAAGAAATAAAAATGAACAAAAGGCATATGAAAAAATGCTCTACATGGCTAATCATCAGGGAGATGCTAATCAAAACAACAGTGAGATATCATCTTACACCACAGAGACTGGCACACATCAAAAAGAGCAAAACAACCACTGCTGGTGCGAATGTGCAGAGAATGGAACTCTCTTTCATTGTTGGTGGGAATGCCAACTGGATCAGCTCTTGTGAAAAACAATATGGGCATTTCCTCAAAAAACTAGAAATGAGCTTCCATATGACCCTGCAATACTATTTTGGAAATATGTCCCAGAGGCGCAAAAAAGCACAGCAGAAACAACATCTGCACCTGTATGTTGATTGCAGCACTATTCACAATAGCCAGAATCGGAAAACAAACCTAGTGCCCGAGAACAGATGACTGGTTGAAGAAACTATGATAGGAGCGATAGTACATCTACACAATGGAATACTATTCAGCTGTTAGAAAAGATGAAGTCATAAAATTTGCTTATAAGTGAATGGACATGGAGAATGTCATGCAAAGTGAAATGAGGCAGAAGGAGAGGGACAGACATTGAATGACAGCACTTACTTGTGGAACATAAAATAACATAATATGAGACTAACACCCAAGGACAGTAGAGACAAAGGCCAGGAAGATTCCTCCACAGTTGGAAGCCTGGCTCGTGATCTGGGGGAGAAGGCAGCTGGGATAGAGAAGGGATCATTAAGCCAATGATGGCTGGAGGGATTGCTCGGGATGGAAGATGTGTGCTGAAAGTAGATAAATGACCAAACATGATGGCCTCTCAGTATCTGTATTGCAAACCATAATGCCCAAAAGTAGTGAGAGTATAAGAAAGAAATTGTCTGCCATAGAGGCAGGGGGTGGATGGGGGTGGTGGGAGGGATACTGGGACATTGGTGGTGGGAAATGTGCACTGGTGGAGGGATGGGTGTTCGATCATTGTATGACTGAAGTTCAATCATGAAAGCTTTGTAACTGTATCTCACAGTGATTCATTAAAACAATAAAAAATAAATAAATAAATATAGTGGGGGAAAGTGCAAAAAAAACAAAAATAAAAATTTCAGCCTTATGGATGTTGAGAGATAGAGAGAGAGAGAGAGAGAGAGAGAGAGAGAGAGAGAAGAGAGAGAATTTGTGAGAAAAATACACCTTTGATTATGTGTCTATATCTTCATTTCTTGAGCAAAACAATTCATCTACCACATTTCTTAAACACTGCCAATATACTAAGGCAGTGTTTTTTGTGTGGTCTAGAGCAGACAGGAAGCAAACCAAGCACAAATCTTTGCCCTAGATATTTACATTCCAGGGAGGGAGGACAGACAATATAGAGAATTCCAGACATATGTAATGGGGACAAAAATTTAAAGAGCGAGTATAGGGGGACTGGAGTGATAGCACAGTGTGTAGGGCATTTGCCTTGCACGCGGCCGACCTGGGTTCAATTCCCAGCATCCCATATGGTCCCCTGAGCACCGCCAGGAGTAATTCCTGAGTTCAGAGCCAGGAGTAACCCCTGTGCATTGCCGGATGTGACCTAAAAAGCCAAAAAAAAAAAAAACCATAAAAGAGCAGGGATAGTGTAATGGGGAAATAAATGGGTGAACGGGAAGATCTCAAAACAAGGAAACAAGGTGACATGTGAGCTGAGGAAAGATCCATGCTCTCTTAGGAAAGAATGTTCTAAAGCACAGGAAAATACGATCACGTTTGGTCTACAGTCTACTCTCATCATGTCTCTTTTGCAAACCACAGCACTCAAAAGGAGAGAGATAACAAAAGGGAATGCCCTGCCACAGAGGTAGGGTGGAATGAGGGGATGGGGGGGTGGCAGGGATACTGGGATCAGGGGTGGTGGAGGATGGGCACTGGTGGAGGAATGGGTATTCGATCACTGTATAACTAAAACCCAAGCACAAAAATTTGTAAGTCTACAACTGTACCTCATGGTGTTTCACTAAAAAAAATTTAAGGGGGGGGGGGGGAAGCACAGGAAAAATTTTCATTTATTTTAAAAAATTTTGGTTTGGGGGCCAACTTGGCAGTGCTCAGGGCTTGCTCCTGCCACTGAGCTCAGGAGTCACTCCTGCTGGGCACTGAGGGACCAAATGGGGTGCTGGGGGTTGAACCCAAGTGGGCCACAGGCACGCCACTGCCCTACCGACTATGCTCTCTCTCTCTCGAACCCCAAGTTTTATTATTACTCTGACATTGTGTTTCACCTTGTTGATACTGTTCTAGTCTGCAAAGAAAGGAAGTCTTACTCATCAACACGTTTTGCACGTAAAAGAACATAGATACTTATTAGAGTATTTTCACCAAAAATCTGTTGTGGGTAAGATAAGAGGATTTATATAATCCTCTCTCTGTCTCTGTTTCTCTCTGTCTCTTTGTCTCTGTCTGTCTGTCTCTCTCTCTCTCTCTCTCTCTCTTTCTCTCTCTCTCTCTCTCTCTCTCTCTCTCACACACACACACACACACACACACACACAAGAAAACTGACCATTAAGCATTGTGATAAGGAAACGTACTGTTACTGAAGAAATTAAAACAAAAGCCACTTAATAGCATCTTACATTTAAGCTTCAAAACTTAGGACTTGTTCAAACTTTAAGAAATTCACACAATTATTAAAACAGTAGGATGATACATATGCACAATTCTCGTTATTCACTATCACTTATTATTAGTAATAAAAGTCTAGAAATCGCTATGGTTTGAGCTTTTATCAAAGAGATCAGATTACTTACTGAGGAGGTCACATTCATATTATAAATGCCTGACGGAGAATGCTTATTTGGTTTAACAAACGGAATACAGTACTTCTTGGTTTTATCATTCATTCTGTAATAACAAGAATAATAAAGAATTTAAAGTCAGAATCAGCAACGATTCTTTTCAAGCACAGAAACCAAACAATAGAGCGCCCAGTGACATTCAATTTAAATCAGAACTTAATAATTACTCTTAAAAAGTGTTCACAGATTTGATGGATAGTCTGTCTTTTACTACTTCATGCCTTCCATGGAGATCCCAGTTCTTTCTTTCAGCAAAATTTCCCAAAAGAGCTTTTCTAGAGCATTAAAGGCTCACAGCTATCCTAGGCATGAAGGCCCTCAAAACTAGTCTTCACTATATAATTAAAGCATCTCTGCTTTCTTATGACTCAGATGAATTTTTCAAAATCAAATGCCAATACTTTTTTAATACACAGTCAAAACTACCTTTGAGGCAGCAACTTTACAAGCATGAAGAGCATCATGTGTAGGGAGTCCCAAAGCATAATCCCAGGAGTGGTATTGCTGGGTCTTATGGAAGCTCCATTTCTAGTTTTTTGAGAAATGCCTATATTGTTTTCCAAAAAGGCTGGATCAGTCGGCATGCCACCAACAATGAATTCTCACCAACAAAGGGACTCTCTTCCCTTTCTCCCCTCAGCTGAGTCAGCACTAGCTGTTCTTGTTCTTTTTAATGTGTACCAGTCTCTGTGGTGTGAGATGATATCTCATTGTTATTCTGATTTGCATCTCCCTGATGATTAGTGATGTAGAGCAATTTTTGTTGTTGTTTTTGAGTTACACCTGGCGATGCACAGGGGCTACTCCTGGCTCTGCACTGAGGAGTTACTCCTAGCGGTACTCAGGGGACCATATGGGATACTGGGAATCGAACCCGGGTCGGCCACGTGCAAGGCAAATGCCCTACGCGCTGTGCTATCTCTCCAGCCCCAAGAGCAATTTTTTATGTGCCTTTTGGGCATTTGTGTTTCTTCTTCAAGGACGTTTCTTATGATTTCTTCTCCCCATTTTTTGATGGGCTTGGATTTTTTTTCTTGTAAAGGTCTACCACTGCCTTATATATCTTTGATATATTAACCCCTTATCAAATGGGTATTGGGTAAATAATTTTTCCCATTTTGTGGGCTGTCTTTGTATCTTGGTCATGGTTTCTTTTGAGGTACAGAAGCTTCTTAGTCTGATGTAATTCCATTTGTTTATCTTTGTTTCCACTTGCTTGGTCAGTGGTTTTCATCTTTGAAGATACTTTCAGCTTCAATATCATGGAGAGTTCTGCAGAAAAAAAAAATCTGCACTTCTATGTTCATTGCAGCACTTTTTACAATAGCCAGAATCTGGAAACAACCTGAGGGCCCGAGAACAGCTGCCTAGGGAAAGAAACCATGGTACATCTACAAATGGAATACTAAGCAGCCACCAGGAAAAATGAAGTCATGAAATTCACTTATAAATGGATGGACATGGAGAATATCATTGTTGAGTTAAATGAGTCAGAGGGAGGACAGACATTGAATGATTGAACTCAACTGTGGGAAGTAAAAAAAAGAAAACCCCACATAGTATGAGATTAATACCCAAGGATAGTAGAATCAAGGGCCAGGAGGATTGTTCCACAGTTGGAAACCAGCCTCAAGTGCTGGGGAGAGAAGGCAGTTGGGATAGAGAAGGGATCACTATGACAATGACAGTTGGAAATGGTCACTCGGTATAAGACTGTGTGCAGTAAGTAGGTAGAGAAACAAAATATGATAAACTCTCAGTATCTATTTTGCAAACCATAATACCCAAAAGGATGAGAGAGAGAGAGAGAGAGAGGTGGGAGGGGGGGGAGAGAGAGAGAGGTGGGAGGGGGAGAGAGAGAGAGAGAGAGAGAGAGAGACAGAGACAGAGACAGAGACAGAAAAAGAGAGAGAGAGAGATATGGAAACAGAGAAAGAGACCGAGACAGAGAGAAGAAAGTGCCTGTCATAGATACAGCTAGGGGCAGGAGTTACCAAGAGATAAACGGGGGACACTGGTGGTGGGAAATGTACACAGGTGTTACCACCCAGTCATAAACAACTTTGTAACTGTGTATCTCATGGTGATTCAATTTTTTTAAAAATTAAAAAAAAAAAAGAATGAAGAGCACCTATAAGTCTAATAGCAATGCATGTGACTGAATTGACCACTCTCATTTGCAATACGTACTTAACATTTTTTTTTTGCTGGTTTATAGCATTTTACATTTTATTGTATCTATATTATTAGCTGGGCTGGAGCGATAGCACAGCGGTAGGGCGTTTGCCTTGCATGCGGCCCGCCTGACTAAGCTGGTTTCGATTCCCCACCCCTCTCGGAGAGCCCGGCAAGCTACTGAAAGTATCTCGCCCACATGGCAGAGCCTGGCAAGCTACCGGTGATGTATTTGATATGCCAAACACAGTAACAACAAAGTCTCCAATGGATATGTTACTAGGCCCGCTCAAGCAAATTGATGAACAACGGGAGGACTGTGACCGTGACCGTGATATTATTAGCTATATTTTTGTGAGGCAATTGATTCCCGCTTAACTCTCTCTCTCCTTTAATTATATTCATTATTTTCACAAAAGATGCACCATTATTATTTGGAATTTCCCCCCAACAATCAGACCTGCTGAAAAGGCATCATGAAATAATTTGTTTTCTATTGCTGGTGATAAAGAGCATATGATGTCGCGCGGCCGTGTACTTTTGGATTTCTGATATTTTACTAATTAAGTCTGGAGGGATTTCTGCCAAAAGCTGCATAGTTCTGAGGTACTTAACATTTTTGATCTTATTTTCCTAACACATACCTGTAAGTTTGAACTCCCGAAACAGTCCCTAGCACAGAGTTAAAAGCAGGAGCCACTGCAGAAAGGTTGTGTGTCAGGAGCGGAATTGCCATGCTGGCATTTCTTGTGTTATCCACCGGGCCACAGCTGCCAGCTTTGAGGTTTGTTGAAGGTGCTGCTTTCATGTGGCCTGTCCAATTGTCCTGAAGACAGGCAGCATTGGGGATGCGACGGACCTTTTCAGCTTTCTCTCCATCAATATTAGGTCCTCTTAGTTTAAATACTTTGGACTCCTTAACTTTGGGATCAGCATTGGTATCCTGATCAACGATAAAGATATCAATAGCATTAGTGATCAGAGAGAATGAAAGACCACCTCTTTCTGTACTTTGTCAGCGACTGCAGAATTTTATGGATTTGACCTTTTTGTGCCTTTGTTTTCTTTTTCTCTTCTTTGTTTTTGCTTTCATTTTTAGGTCAGGTCCAACGGTGCTCAGGGTTTATTCCTAATTCAGTGCTTAGGTATTGCTACTGGTGATATTCAGGACACTACATGCAGTGCCAGGAATCAAACAAGGGCCCACTGCATGCAAGATAAGTGCTTTAACCCCGGTACTATCTCTCTGACTCCAGTGTTCCTGTTTACTTAATTATATCTGCGGAACTAAAACTGAATTCTTGTTCAGACATTTATTTTTAATTAAAAGTCATTTATAGCAGCTCTTTGTATAGGTAGATCTTATATAGATCTGATATTTAGATAAGATGTTAATGCCATATCCATATACAATTTATATCTATATGAAAACATGAAAAAGGGATCAAACATGGCCCCCTTTTTTCCCTTAGAGATTTAGAATCAGAGAAAACAAAATTGAGAGTTCTTTCTTCTTTGGGTTCACTTGAGAAAATGGGAAAATGGAAGATGTGAATTACTTTATTAACAACAGATCCTGAATATTGTACCAGGGAAAGTAAACTTAAAATAAATCAAATATGCAACTCTCTAAATCAAAATATGCAACATTGTGACTTTAAAATGTTCAACTTTATAATAAAATTCTAAAAAATCATATTTTTCTCTCCAATCATTTAAGGAAAGAAATGGTGGTGGTGGTGGTGGTGTGTGTGTCTGTGTGTGTGTGTGTGTGTGTGTGTGTGTGTTCATCCATGTGTTTATATGTCTGCACACATGGTGCAAGTAACCTTAGAGAAGCATAGTTTCCTGAAAAATTCCATTGCTCAGGGCCGGAGTGATAGCACAGCGGGTAGGGCATTTGCCTTGCACGTGGCCAACCCGGGTTCGTCCCCGGCATCCCATATGGTCCCCTAAGCACCACCAGGAGTAATTCCTGAGTGCAGAGCCAGGAGTGACCTCTGAGCATTGCTGGGTGTGACCCAAAAAGGCAAAAAAAAAAATTCCATTGTTCATTCTGGTGCACAGTCTGGAACATAGCAAGCACTTAATATAGGATATGCAAATACTTTTTAACTGTAACTACCATTAGAGAAAATACTGCTAGTAAACAACTTGGAAAGTGTACATTGTTTACTAATTTCAAATTTTCCCCCAAAATGTTTATTTTTCTTCAACATATAGATATTTTAATATTAGGCACTGCAATTTACAGTGTGATTCATGAGAGTTTCATGCATGAGAGTTTCATGCATACAATGTTCTATTTCCACACCCTCCGTCAGCATCCACGTCCTTTCACCACTGTCTCTGTTTCAGTGTATTCCTCTCTCTCCACCTCCTTTATGCCCCCCCCCGCCGCATGTCCCATTGTGGCAAGCTCAGTTCTGAAGGTCAGTTCTTTGGTTCTGTTGCCTTTGCCACTTGTTATTCCCTCACTAAATTTCTTTAGATCCCACATATGAGAGAGCTCATTCTAGAACTGTCCTTTTTCAGGTATCTCCCTTGTCTTATAATGTGGCTGACCCTGGTTCAATCCCCGGCAGCACATATGGTCCTTAGAGCATCACCAGTAGCGGCCCTTGGGCACTACCAGATTTGCCTCACCCCCCCATAAAAATCCCCCAATAAAATAAAAAGAATAGATATTACTAAATTTAATTTTTAAGACATTAAAATATGGAAATTTACCTGTACAATGAATGTTTTTTTCTCTTCGCCAAAGGAATCATCTTTTTCCTTCTTTCTGTTTTGAATTTTTTTAGATAAAGTAGTACTGCTGGCATCCTTCTGTACTTTTAATTGTAGTTCCCTGGAAAATCTACATTAAAAAATTGCTTGTCAATAAAATAGAATTGTAGGAAATATGAAGTTTAAAATAGTCTTCGAGGTATGCATTTTTTAAAAAGCAAAGTATTAAACTAGATTCATTTAAAATAGCACAGCGGTAGGGCGATTGCCTTGCACGCAGCCAACATGGCCAACCCGAGTTCGATTCCTCCGCCCCTCTCGGAGAGCCCGGCAAGCTACCAAGAGTATCTCGCCCGCACGGCAGAGCCTGGCAAGCTACCCATGACGTGTTCTATATGCCAAACACAGTAACAACAAAGTCTCCAATGGAGACGTTACTGGGCCCGCTCGAGCAAATCGATGAACAACGGGAGGACCGTGACCGTGACTGAGAAAATTCTGGTTCCAGAAGAACAATACTTGAAAGTTAGTCTACCAATCCCCAGGAATTCATGAGAGATTTTCAGGAGATTCACCAAGTCAGAGCTCTGTGAAAGAACCTGACTTAAAGAGATGTCTGTTGCAAGGAGAAAATATTTGCACAACATACACCTGACAAAGGGCTAATAGCTAACATTATAAAGCACTCACAAAGCTCAACAACCACAAAATCAGACAAACACAAAACAAAGACCTTTTGGAAAAAAAAAGGGGAGGGGGGAGGAGATGGAACAGTAGCCATAGTACAGCGGGGAGGGCTTTTACCTTATATGTGGCAGACCCGGGTTCGGTCCCCGGCATCCCATATGGTCCCCCGAGCACCGTCAGGAGAGATTCCTGAGTGCAGAGCCAGGAGTAACCCCTGAGCATCACAGAGTGTGATCCAAAAATGAAAAAAAAAAACGGGGGGGTTGAGGGAGAAGGTGAGGGGCAAGGAGACAGCTCAAGGACTAGAGTTCATGCCTGACATGTAGAGCCCAGGGTTGGGCAACAGGGAGTAACCCCTGTGTATTGAGCCAGAAATAGCTCTAAACACTTCCAGGTCAAACCAAAAAATAAGTAAGTCACTAAATGGGGCATAGAGCTGCATAGATGCTTCTCTATGGGGGCAGGCAGATGGACAACAAGAACATGAAACAATGCTCATCGTGATGACCAGGGACATGCAAATCAAAAGGACAAGGATCCACCGCTTCACACCAGTGAAAAGGATTTGTATCTAAAAAAAAGCCTAAAACTGCAAGTGCCGATAGGGAAGCAGTGAAAAGCGGTGAAATATAAACTGGTTCAGGGGTCCTGGGAAACAGCATGGCAACTCTCCACAGATTAAAAGTAGAACTGCCAAATACCAGGTGACCTCACTCATATGTAGTATATAATAAAGTGAAAGTAGGGACTAAACAATGTCTAATGAAAACAAACCCTAAGACACTGACCACCGAATTGGGGTTAACAAGGGAATAAGGGAAGTGGTGGGAAGGGCCTAATGAATTATAGACAAGGAGTACTGGTACTTTAGTATCAAAAGTAATCTGGTAACAATGTACCCCTAAAATGAGTAACATATACTCTTCTAAACCAGCATTGCTTCAATTTAAACAACAACAACAACAACTTAATAAAGAACAATGTCCCTCTTGAAGTAGCAAAAACGTATTTATTTTATGAGATCAAAACTCTGAAATGAATTTTTTCCCAGTGTGACCAATTGGAACTATGAAGCACCTCTGCTACCCAACAAAGTGCAAAGGTTATATGAACTAAAGATTTGGGTGGGCCAGATAGTACAATGGGTAGGGCATGTCTTATACAGGGCCAACCTAGGTTCAATCCTTGGCACCATACATGGTCCCTGAGCCCACCAGGAGTGATCCCTGAGCACCACTGGGTTGCAAAACAAACCTGCCTCCCCCCCCAAAAAAAAGGACGTAGGAAACATAGGAAACAGTCATACTCTAAGTTAAATCTTTAATATTAATCTGAAGCAGGGGGAAGGGGAGAGGAGGGAAGTAGGTATTATTTTCATGGATAATCTTTTTTACCTGAAAGAGTTTCAAATAGTTATGACTATTTATTATTTTTTAAAATTATTTCAAATTTCTTTTATTTATTTATTTATCTATTTTTTACTTTTTTGGGTCACACCCGGTGATGCTCAGGGGTTACTCCTGGCTCTGCACTCAGGAATCACCCCTGGCGGTGCCCAGGGGACCATATGGGATGTTGGGAATCAAACCCGGGTTGGCTGTGTGCAAGGCTAACGCCCTTCCCGCGGTGATATCACTCCAGCCCCAGCTATGACTATTTAGACTTGGGTGTTCGGAAGGCATGATATTTCATCTTCTTTTTTAATGTTTTAAGTTTTTGGCCCAGCAGTGTTCAGAGGCTACTCCAGGCGCTGTGCTTGTGTGCCATTTGCTACAAGTGCTCAGGGCACCATGCAGTGCCAGAGATTGAACCTGAGCCTTCCACATGCAAAGCCTGTGCTTCCTGGCCCCTGGCAGGCATTTTCTTGAAAAAAAAAAAAATTAACAAGGAACGCAACCGATAATAACATTTTTATGCAAAAATTAGAATCCTGCTAAACTTATATTATATACTACTATGAGTTTGTTATTCCTGATACTGAAACTTTCTGATGAAAGAGATTAGCTCTTTAACATCGTATGATACATAGTTTTTAAATCTATGTAACATATACAGATTTCCAAATCACTGTCACTGTCACTGTCTTCCCGTTGTTCATCGATTTGCTCGAGTGGCCCCAGTAACATTGTGAGACTTGTTGTTACTGTGTTTGGCATATCGATAACATCACGGGTAGCTTGCCAGGCTTTGCTGTGCAGGTGAGATACTCTCAGTAGCTTGCCGGGCTCTTCAAGAGGGGCGGAGGAATCGAACTCGGGTCAACAGCGTGTGAGGCAAACGCCCTACCTGCTGTGCTATTGCTCCAGCCCAGATTTCCAAATATACCAATAATTTTCAAACAACTATTGCATTGTTACAAAAGTCTGCATGGGTTAAAAAAATCTGTTCAAAGTGAAATAGAAGACAGGTAAAATTAAATTTAGTAGGGCATTGCCTTCAGATTCTACAATGCAATTAGCCTTTAAGAAACAATCACTATCAAGTGTTGGAGTATCAAAGATTTTGGAACAGACTGAAAGATGAACACCTATAATTAGTTAAAAAGAATCATTAAAATATTCTTCCATTTCCCAAACCACAGAGACAGTACAGTGAATAGGATGTTTGTCTTGCATGTGGCCAATCCAGATTCAATCCCTAGCACGCCAATATGGTCCTCTGAGTCCACCAGGAGCCAGGAGCAACACCTGAGCACACAGGGGTTGGCCAAAACAACAAATTCTTCCATTCCCAACTCTTTCTATATTTGAGTGAGTTTCTTCCTGGTCTCCAATGAAAGCAACACACCAAGCAGAAGCATATTGAGAATTCAACTCTCACTAGACTACATATGAAACAGGCTTGCAAATCTATCAAGTCTTGTAATTCGTCTCTAATTTTTTTTTTTGGTAAGTTACATGGACGCCAGCAGGTGGAAGAGCACAAGTAACCAGGTCAGCTGCGTTGGCGACCGCGTCTCTGCCACAGCGCCGTGCAGAAGACAGCCCGCAGCGGGTGCTCAGTGACAGGAGATGACACTTTTGCAACTGCGTCATCATTCGAGATGTCAAGAGGATGGCATCACACACTTATAATAGGAATAAGAGGCCCCAAGAGGCAGCGCTCACTGCCGGAAGGTAAGAAAAGAAAAAGGAAATGCAGGAAATGACTGGATCAGAGGAACTAAGAGCTCTGATTTTAGGGGTGCACGGGGCCATTTCTAGGAACTGCATTATTGCTGGGAGTGAGGAAAGGCAAATTAGTAGACATTTGAGATGCCACAAAAATAAGTAAATAGAGATGACAGTGACATACTGTTTGCTACTCTATGAGGCCTATTTCAAATGGAGAATGGTCTGAACTGGAAGAAAGAATCAGTACTATACCTCTCAGCAAATCCATCCATATGAAAGAAATCATGATGTAAAAGTTCAGCACAGAAGGGCCTTTGGTCTGGATCAATATGCAAGCATTTCTGGAAAACCAAAGAACACACAATTTATAACAACAACAACAAACACCCACATTTAGATCTCTCAAAATTCCCCCTTCTGTCTTCCTTGCAGCCCACCCAGGTTTGACTCCTGGCACCATATCTGAGCCATCAAGCACCACAGGATTGATCTGTGGGCAGAGCCAGGGGGGCACTGAGTACCACAAGGTATGGCTCCAAATCTAAAATGAATAAATACATCTACACAATGAAGTACTATGTAGCTATTAGAAAAGATGAAGTCACGGGGCTGGAGTGATAGCACAGCAGGTAGGGTGTTTGCCTTACATGCAGCTGACCCAGGTTTGATTCCCAGCATCCCATATGGTCCCCTGAGTAATTCCTGAGTGCAAAGCCAGGAGTAACCCCTGAGCATCGCCGGGTGTGACCCAAAAAGCAAAAAAAGAAAAAGAAAAAGAAAAAGAAAGAAAAGATGAAGTCATGAAATGAAATTTACATACAAGTGGTACTACATGGAAAGTATCATGCTAAGCGAAATGAGCCGTCAGAAGGAGAGGGACAGACATAGAAAGATTGCGTTCATCTGGGGAATATAAAGTAAGAAAATAGAAGACTAACACCCAAGAATAGACGAGATAAGTACCAGGAGGTTTACTCCATGGCTTGGAGGCCAGCCACACATGCTGGGGGGACAAGCAGCTCATATAGAAAAAGGAGCACCAAATAAAGGGTGTTGGGAGGATCCTCCCAGGATGGAAGATGCATGCTGAAAGTAGACTGTAGACCGAGCATGATTGCCTCTTGGTGCCTCTTTTGCAAACCTCAGCACCCAAAAGGAGAGAGAACAAAGAGGAATGCCCTGCCACAAAGACAGGGTGGGATGGGGGGGATGGGGGGGTGGGAGGGTACTGGGATCAGTGGTGGTGGAGGATGGGCAGTGGTGGAGGGATGGGTACTTGATCATTGTACATTGAAACCCATGCACAAAAATGTGTAAGACTACAACTCTACCTCAAGGTGTTTCACTAATAAAAAAATAAATAAAATTATCTTTCAAAACAATAAAGCTTTTACTTATTTCAAAAAAATAAAAAATAAAATGAATAAATAAATAAAAGTCCTTTTTTTAGTCAATGAATTTTAATCAACCATAAACAGTAAGTCACGAACTTATACAATGAGCAACAACAGCAACAAAAGGAGAGGGCACCTTTAAGTATCTAGACGAAATTTATATTGACCTCTTATGCAGTGGCCTTGACAAAAAACCATCTTATTCTGACTAAACTCTAGCTCTACCATGAGTCTGTAACAAACACAGGACACAGAGGAACATGAATCACAGAATAACACTGTATAGAAAACCATGAGACAAGTTCTTTAGCAAATAACAGATAAGGTTTACACAAAATGAAAGAGATAATAAGAAGCATATAAGTATCTTAAAAATACATATCCTGATGGGGCTGGAGAGATAGCACAGCGGGTAGGGCATTTGCCTTGCACATGGCTGACCTGGGTTCGATTCCCAGAATCCTATATGGTCCCCTGAGCACCTCCAGGAGTAACCCCTGTGCATCGCCAGGTGTGACCCAAAAAGAAAAAAAAATACATATCTCGAGCCAAAGTGATAGTACAGCGGGTAGGGCATTTGCCTTGCATGCAGCCAACCCAGGTTCAATCCCTGGCATCTCATATGGTCCTCCAAGCACCGACAGGGTAATTCCTGAGTCCAGAGCCAGGAGTAATCCCTGAGCATCTCTGGGTGTGGCCCCAAAAGAAAAAAGAAACCATATCTCAGGACCAGATAGATAGCACAGTGAGTAGCGCAGGGAACTTGTCTTACACACAGCAGACCCGGGTTCAATTCCAAGCACTACATACGGTACCAGCCACAATGAGTGATCCCTGAGCACAGAGCCAGGAGTAAACTCTGAGCACACTGGTGTGACTCAAACACACACACACACACACACACACACACACACACAGAGCTGGACTAGGAGAAGTCTTGAAGGACTGAAGCACAAACTTTGCATTCAGGAGGTCCAAGTTTAATCCCCAGGCCCAGTTAGTCCCCCTGAGTTGCTAAGGACCCCCCAAACACTCTCCAGGAGCAGTTTCAAGCATCACTGGGTATAACCCTGAACAACAATAACAACTTTTTTATAAAGGTACTGTGATTTTCAAAGTTATTCATAATAGAGTTTCAGGCATACAATATTAATGTTCCAACACCAATCCCACCACAAACTTTTCTTTTCTTCTCTTTATTTGACTTTTGGGCCACACCCAATAGTACTCTGCACTTAGAGATCACTCCTGGAGGTGTTTATGGACTATGGGCTTATGAGATGCCAGGGATCAAACCCAGGTTGGCTGTGTGCCAGGCAAGCGACCTATTTATCTCTCAGTCCCCAAACCACCACAGACTTTAAATTTTTATTTTTTGGACCCGCTCCCAATGGCATCAGGGGCCACTAGGGTCCGATCTGCAGTGCTGGTTGGGGGCAGGCAGTGCCAGGGATCCAACTTGGGCCAAGCACATGGAGGCATGTTTCCTACCACTTGAGGACAGTTGTCAGGTCTCACACACGCAGGGCATGTGCTTTATCACCAGGCTGCATTCCTGGCCCCTCTGCCACTCGAACTATCTCTTTCAGCCCCAGACCAAATTCCTTTATTATGTTTTTTGTTCTTTTTAATCACTATGAGATAGACCCTTACTAAGCTGTTCATGATTGGGTTTCAGGCATACAGTGTTCTAACACCCATCCCTTCACCAGTGTACATTTCCCACCACCACTATCCTCAGTTTCCCTCCCACACTTCTTCCACCTCCCCACCACCCTCCCCCGACCACCCACCCCTGCCCCCCTTGCCTGCCAGCTTGCCTCTTATGGCAGTCATTTTTGTTCTCTCTTATCTTTCAGTGATGAATGGGGTGGGGTTGGGCCACACCCAGAAATGCTTTTTTTTTTTTTTTTGCCTTTTGGGTCACACCCAGCGATGCTCAGGGGTCACTCCTGGCTCTGCACTCAGGAATTACTCCTGGCGGTGCTTGGGGGACCATATGGGATGCCGAAGATCGAACCCCGGTCGCCCCCATGCAAGACAAATGCCCTACCCTCTGCGCTATTGCTTAGGAGCTATTCTTGGCTCTGTGATCAGAAGTGCCCCCTGGTGGTGCTCGGGGGAACATGCGCGGTGCCAGCGATTTAAAGGCGGGTCCGCGGGATGCGCAGCAAACGCCTTGGCCCCTAGGCTGCGTTCTTTCCATAGATGATTCAAGGCAGACCTTGCTCTGAATCACCGGGACTGCTAAAGGTAAAGTGTGAATCATTTCATTCTTTTCTCTTTGTTTGAGATTTGTGCCCTTTATTTTATTTATTAATTGAGCCACACCAGGAAGTGCACCAGGCGTTTTTTAGTGCCAAGGATCTGTGCTCCAGCCCTGTGAGCTATCTCCTGGTCCCTGTTCTTTTAATCTGTGTAACTCGTACAGTTGGAGATGTTTATCTCATATTTCTCTTTTTTAAATTAAAAAAAATTTTTTTTTCTTTTCAGGTCATACCTGCCGATGCTCAGGAGTTACTCCTGGCTTTGCACTCAGGAATCACTCCTGGCAGTGCTCAGGTAACCATATGGGATGCTGGGAATCGAACCCGGGTCAGCTGCGTGCAAGGCAAACGGCCTACCCGCTGTGCTATCACTCCAGCCCCATCCCGTATTTCTTTAAATTTTTTTTAACCTTATGAGGCCCCGTGATTTACAATAACGTTAAAAATGGCTTTACGTGTGCATCGTTTCAATACCACACCCACGACCAGAATACCCGCTTCTGTCCACCCAGACTCCAAAGACCCCGCTCTTTCAGGCCCCCACGCTATCACTTCCCCAGACCCCCCGAAAATTCAGTTCTGTTGGACCAACCCCCAGTTCTGTTCCCTTTGGCCCTTTGTTGCTACAATACTGTGTATCTTTAAGTCTCACACTAAAATGAAATTTTGAACTAATAATTCCAAGAGGTTCACTTTTAGAGATGATTTGATCCAGTAAGAATCTCATCATAATATCCTCAATTGAGCATAAGATAAAGATGATAACCATTTTCAAATGAACCTCAGCAAATTCAGGAACTAAACCAAAGTCCCTCTAATCATACACTTAGGTAAAATGCACTTTGTTTTGCATGTGTGAGGCCTGGACTTGATTAGAAAAAAATGTTCTCGTGATTAATTTATTTTTCCCTTCTTTTTTTTTGTACTTCAGTATTTTTTTTATTTTTTATAATTTTGTTTATTGAATCACCGTGAGAGCAGTTACAAAGCTTTCGGGTCTAAGTCTCGGTCATACAATGAAACACCAGTCCTTTCACCAGTGCCCATTCTCCACCACCAAAAACCCCAGTATATCCCCATCCCACACCCTCCCCCTACCTGTGGGGCAGATGATTTCCACATTACTCTCTCTCTACTTTGATCACATTCAATATTTCAACACCAGACCCACCATTATTATTTGAGATTTTACCCCAACACTCAGATCTGCTGAAAAGGCAACAGTAGACAATTTGTGTTCTACTGCTCGTTATGAATAACATATGATGTTGCGTGGCTGCAGTAGGGCCATGTGATTTTGAAATTCTGAAATTTTAACACTTAAATCTGGAGGGATTTCTGCCAAAAGCCACTGGGTTTCGAGATTTGCTCCTGAGTCTCTGGGATTATGGCTGTTGAGCAGCTTGATCAGGAGCCAAAAAGGCCGTTCGTGGACGATGACTTGGGGTCTCGTTGGGACAGGAAGACTAGGACTGGCTCCACTCCCATCCCGTGAGGCCCAACAAGTTTTGTCACTGTGGGCCCAGGCCTGACTGTCCAATGGCCTCTGGAGGATGACAGTCACCGAGCCGCCAAGGGGGAGCAGGTGGAGGGACAACATCCTTTCCTCCCTGGGGTGGCCTGGCAACAGTAACCTACTGCAGAGTCCAGACGCATTTCTGCCAAAAGCCGCTGGGTTTTGAGATTTGTTTCTGAGTCTCTGGGATCATGGCCGTTAAGCAGCTTGATCAGGAGCCAGAGAGGCCATTTGTGGGTGATGACTTGGGGTCTCACTGGGGTCGGAAGGACAGTCCCGGCTCCACCCCCATCCCATGAGGCCCTGCATGTCTCGTCACTGGGGGCCCAAACCTGACTGTTCAGTGGCCTCTGAAGGATGGCAGCCACTGGGCCGCTGGGGTGGACAGGCCAAGGCACGAAACCTATTCTCACCTGGGTTGGCCCAGCACCGGTAACCTACTGCAGGGACTGGATGCATCTCTGCCAAAAGCCGCTGAGTTTCAAGATTTGTTTCTGAGTCTCTGGGATCATGGCCGTTAAGCAGTTCAATCAGGAACCAGAGAGGCCATGCCTCCAATTATATAGCTGAGCAGGAGGTGGTTTGTGGGTGTGTTTCCCACATACAAAACTTTTGGCCGTTTACATTCTTGGTAAACTTTGCCCCAAGTCTTTGGGGTCTGGCCAAACGCACAGCAGCAATTTGGGGGTATCTGGAAGCCTGAAGGTGCCATCAGGCTGCTGATGCACTCGCCTCACAGGTACAGATTGACCTGCTGGTGGCACAATACCCCCTTCCCTTCTATTTTCTTATTCTACTTTTCTTCTCTTTTCATTGACATAAAATTTGCTTTTTAAATGTTAAAAGTTTTAAGTGAATTATTACAAGGATACTTTTACACTTAAAACATAACACAAAATGGATACTTAATTAAAATATTCAGACCTTTATCTCTGATATTTAGTCAAATTATTTAAGCTAGTACTTTTTTTTTTTTTTTGGGGGGGCGGGCGGCGGCGGCTTTTGGTTTTTAGGCCTTATCCAGAGAGCAGTGCTGAGTGGATCGTGTGTTGCTAGGGCCTTCAACCTGCAAAGCTTGTGTTTCAGCCCATTGGGCTCTTTCTTTCCAGCCTTTTTCATTGTTGTTTTTTTTTGGTTTGCTTTTATTCTGGGACCATACCAACTGTGCTCAGTTCTTATTCCTGGCTCTGTGCTTAGGATCAAACCCAGGTTGGCTGCATGCAAGGCAAATACTCTACCTGCTGTAATATCACTCCATCCTCCTTAAGATTTTTGCATATCATTTTTAATGTACAAAAATTTAAATACTCAGATAAATTTGTTCACCTGAAATGTCAAAGTCTCCAAAATATAAATTCCCCACTAGAAACTAAAAAGAAACACACACACACACACACACACATATATATATATATATGATTACCTTTGCTAAGTCTATTACAACTTCAGGGAGCTTGGGATAGCGTCTCTCGAGAGGTTCTGCTTCCTTGATTTCGGGCAACCTTGCTCCAGCAAATGCAGGATTTTTATAAAACAGCTCCTGATGTCTTGGGATTAGATTACCTGGAAGTGAAAACAGCACCCACTTCTCTCACTATACATCATGGCAGAAAAGACCAGTAGAGGGTTGGACCATGGCACCAGAGGGCCAGGGTGCATGCTGAGCGTGCAAAGAGCCCTGGGTTCAATTAGGGTACCAGATGGCCCAACACCAACCCCACCCCCCCACCCCCATCCCAAGTAGAGAAATGACAAGGAGGCAGGAGGTATAGAGTAGAGAATAAGATGACAGTTCATGAAGTTGGTACTTTCTCAGTGTTTGATACAAAATCCAAAAGAAATGCTTATTGCAGAGGCTATTTGCAGGTTTTACTGTGGTTTTGGCATAAGTGAACTCAAGGAATGTTCTTATCTCAAGTTACTCATTTAGAAAGTTTGCATGCCACGACACATGAAACTAAATCCAGGAGGAGGCATAAGAATGACTAGAAAAGGATATTTCATCATTTTCTAGATTTAAGTACCAGTCCTTTTATTTAGAATAAAAAATTGAAAGTGTAAGCAAAACAATGAAACTAGTAATAATTATGTGACTGAAATACATTCTGGATTTATCAGGTCTATTCTTTTAGAATTTTATTTATTTTTGTTTTTGTTTTTTAAGGCGGATCCCATTGAGGCTCAGTGAACACTCCTAGCAGGTCTTGGGACCACCTGTGGGGCCAGGGATCAAACCCAGGTCAGTTGTGTGCAAGGTAAGAACCTTAACTCCTATACTATCTTTCTAGCCCTATTTTTAAAGAATTTTTTAACAACAAAGTGTATATAAAGTGAGTACTTTAACTCCCTTTTCAGTTATAATACCTAATTTGGTGTGAAATATGTTTAACTTTGCTGCAAAAAGTAATTGCATTATTTGATCTTATAAATGGAAACTTAACAATTAAAAATGAAATAATCCATGTATCTCCCCTCTCTTTTGTTTTGTTTTGTTTTGCGGTGATGGGGATTAAACTGAAGGTCTTGAGGCAATGAGGTAGTACAACAGGTAGTGTGTTTGCCTTGCACACAGTTGTCTCAGGTATGATTCCGGCATTTCATGTGGTCCCCTGAGCACCATCAGGAGTGACTCTTGAATGCAGAGCTAAAAGTAACCACTGAGCATCACTAGGTGTGGCCCAAAAACAAGACAAAAAAATTTCCTCATACAAGCAAGAACAGCGAGTGCTCTAACCAATGAATTCCTTCTCCACCCGCCATCATTTCTATTCTGCAAAGCTTGTGTCTCATCAGGAAGCTGGTTGCAACAAATCTAAGAAGACTTTGGTAGTGTAGCTTTGAAATTCTGTTCCAAAAACTAACAGCAAAAGTAAACTCTGTGGCACAAAAACTACTTCCAAACTTTGTCTCTCAATAGACAGATGAGGATGAAGTTGTCATATTACAGGAAATGCCCAAAGATAGTAAATAACCATTTGCATCTTCTTTACATGTATTTTACTGAACAGAAAAGCATAGAGAAAGAGCATTTGCTCTTTGCCTATTTGGGGGGAATAGGAATGGGTAATGAACATGATTAACTTCATGTGTCAGACAGACTAAAGTCATACTGAGGATGAAGAAGTAAATGAGTATTTATCTAAATGTATATATGTATATATGTGTGTGCATACATATGTATTTATATACAGAATTTAATATGGGGGAAATCCAAATTTTAAAATTCAGTTCTTACCTAAACAGGTTGTAATATGATAGAGTTGGTCAATATCAGAATCTCCAGGAAAGAGGGGCTCCCCCATGAGCATTTCGGTTACCAGACAGCCAATGGCCCACACATCAACTGCCCTGAGAGAAACGCAATGTGGTGTAAAATCTGGCATTTCAGTACGTCTCTTGTGACTAAATCTGTTCTGCATATTACTATTTGGTACCTCGGTACTGAGAAATAGAAGTAATAAGCATTCAGTTACTCCATAAAAGACATTTCCCTAAAAACTAAAATACATTTTACATTTTTTTTTTTTTTTGCGTCACACCCGGCGATGCTCAGGGGTTACTCCTGGCTCATGCACTCAGGAACTGCTCCTGGCGGTGCTCAGGGGACCATATGGGGTGCTGGGAATCGAACCTGTGTCGGTCATGTCGGCTGCATGCAAGGCAAACGCCCTACCTGCTGTGCTATCACTCCAGCCCCCATTTTACATTTCTTAAATGTAACACTTTTACATGTTAGACTTCCAGACAGTTTAATCATGTAATGTGAGAGGGAAAAGGCTTCTGGAAAATCAAAACAGTGATTATGAGTATTTTATCCTAGAAATATAGCTTTCTGCTTCCCACTTAGAGCCTGTTCATTCTTGTTTACAGCTAATACAACAAACTGACAAGTTTGTCTCATGGCACACTGAAGACAAAAAATAGTTGTTGGGGATGTATACAATAAGAAGGAGAATTGAACATTAATAGGGAAAAACTGAAAACTGTCTTTAAAACTCAGTCACCATAAGGCAATGAAGATCAATTGACATTATTAACCACAGATATAACAACCTTGAAATTGCTTAAAATTGTAGCTGAATTATAAAATGACACAAAAATGCAGTATATAAATAAAAGAAGAATGCAGAGAATATTCAATGATTTATACTCTGAAAGCAGAAAAACTGTAGAAAATATTCTAGGAAGATTTCTACCAAAAATTAGTAACTGGGGCCGGAGCAATAGTCCACCTGGAAGGGCATTTGCCTTGCACACAGTTCAATCCCTGGCATCCCATATGGTCCCCCAAGCACATTCAGGGTAAGTCCTCAAGGGTAAGACCATCAAGGGTAAGACCCTTGCATGGCTGGATGTGACCCAAAAAGCAAAATAAATAAATAAATAAAATAAAGATTAAGAAAAAAGAGAACAAAAATTAGTAACTTTTTTTTGAAGAATGTACTTATGCCCGGCAAGCTACTGAGAGTATCTCGCCTGCACGGCAAAGCCTGGCAAGCTCCCTGTGATGTCAAACACAGTAACAACAAGTCTCACAATGGAGCCGTTACTGGGCCCACTCGAGCAAATCAATGAACAACAGGAGGACAGTGCTACAGTGCTACAATACTTATGAAGACAATTCAGGCTTTAAAAAATATTTTTATTAAATTATGTTTCTATTTCCAGCCTTGCCTTATCCATCTCACCTCAACCAACAGTGTTACATTGAATTCAATGTTATCCTGTCTTTACAATAATTATTAGGTCTTTTCCAACCTACTATTAAAAAATATTATCTCCATTCGATCTTCCTACTTTTAAAAACAGTATGCCCACTAATATTTGTTTTATAAGAGAAAAACGCCAAAAACGATGACACATCACTTTTTTTGTGGGGGAGGGGGTCGCACCCAGCAGTGCTCAGGGGTTGCTCCTGGCTTTGCGCTCAGGAATTACTCCTGGCCGGCTTGGGGGACCATACCGGATACTAGGAATTGAACCTGGATTGGCTGCATGCAAGGCAAGTGCTTATCTGCTTTACTAACTCTTTGGCTACTTTTTTTTTTTTTTTTGCTTTTTGGGTCACACCTGGTGATGCTCAGGGGTTACTCCTGACTTTGCACTCAGGAATCACCCCTGCAGTTGCTCGGGGGACCATATGGGATGCTGGGAATAGAACTCGGGTCGGCAGCGTGCAAGGGCGGCCCTACCCGCGGTGCTATCATTCCAGCCCCCTTTGGCTACTCTTTTTAAAAGAAATTTTGGTCCACATTTGGACTCACTCCTGGAGGGCTTGGAGGACCATTCAGGATGCAAGGGATTGAACCCAAGAGAGCCGCATGCAGGGCAAGCACCCTACCCGATGTACTACTCCTTCAGTCTTCTACGTATCACTTTATAAAGTTCCATAAACTCAACTCCTCCATTTGGAGTTCAGTGTAATAGTTTTGCTATATGGTAAACATTAAACATTATTACGAGGAGATTAAGGCTGCCCACCCCCCTTGCAGGGATCTTACTTGCCATACTTGACGTCACCGACCAATAGCTCTGGAGCTCTGTACCACCGGGTTGCCACATAATCAGTGTAAACCTCGCCCGGAGCTGCCAGGGTGCGCGCAAATCCAAAATCACATAACTTGACAACACCAGACTGCGAGATTAAGATATTCTCGGGCTTTATATCTCTGTGTATGATCTAAGACAAAAAGCGGAGTGTGGCATATGTTGACATTTCAATTTTAAGTAAATTAATACTTTTATTTATTTTTTTTTTTAGTACATGCCATGCGCAGGCCATTGGTTTTTCTTTTACAATGAAGACAAATTAGCATAACTGTTTCTGGCTTTAAGAAAACTAGGACCGGGGCTGGAGAAATAGCCAGCTGGTAGGGCATTTGCCTTGCACCCAGCGGACCGGGTTCGATTCCCAGCATCCCATATGGTCCCTTGAGCACCGCCAGGAGTGACTCTTGAGTGCAGAGCCAGGAGTAACCCCTGTGCACTGCCGGGTGTGACCCAAAAAGAAAAAAAAAAACTAGGACCTCTTTGGAAAATAAAGAACATTTATGCTTTAAACTATTTTAAAACTCTAAGATGGAGCTGGAGAGTTGGTACAGTGGGTAAGGGACCTGCCTTGCACACAGCCAACAGGGGTTCAATCCCTGGCATCATAGATGATCCCCTGAGCCACCACCAAGATGATCTCTGAGCACAGAACCAAGAGTAATCTCTGAGCACTGCTGGGTGTGGCCTTCCCACCCACCCCCCAAAATCAAAACAACTTTAATATATTGGTTATATATATGTTAATTACCAAAACAATTACTCTATTAATGGAAGGGTTCAAGACCAAGAGTAGAGCTCTCATTGAAGGTCAGGGTAGTTAAGGACACTTTATGAAGGGGTGGACTCTAACCTTAAGGTCTTAAGTATTAAGACCTTACGTCTTAAGTATTATGGCCTATATTTATAAATATAGAGATTGAAGGACAATCTAACGGAAAGTAACAAGGAAGCCAGAGAGAAGATAGGAATCATCAGGGGGACAGAGAGAACGTCTTTTTCCTAGAGTTGAGATTAAAAATTGTGAAAAAGAGATGCCTCAACAACCACTTTGGGAAGCCTGAACTTGGGTTAAGTCCCCGGAAGCTCATGAAAGTGACATGACAAAAAAAAAGTGGGAAAAGATGACGTTTTTATTCATAAACAAGCTAAATGCAAGAGTGGGACCTGTGAGACATCACTAGGGTGATAAGGATCTAAACTAGGTTGGTATTCAGAGGAATACACTAGAAGACTTTAAATTAAGAATCACCAGAATTCAGGAAATAATAACAGATTTTTTTTTATTTAAACCTAAGAATCTTTTTTTAAAAAAAATAAATGGTGACTCCATTACCAAAAATAGAAAATTCTGAAAAGAATTCTGTTTATTTTATGGGCCACACCCATTCGGTGCTCATGCTTACTCATGGCTCCGTATCAGGGATCACCCCAAATGATGCTTAGGAGAGTCACAAGTGGTACCAGGGAGCGAACCAGGGTCAACCATGTGCAAGGCAAACACTTCAATGCCCACACTATCTCTCTCGACCTGGGAAAGAGTGGTTGTAGTGGAATAATTAGCTGCTCAATTTTAGCCCTATGAGCTTCTGGCTGTGTTGCTGAGGGGCCTTGTGGAAGTGATCACCAGGCAACTAGTTACACAAGGTCAGTGGCTAATATTTCTAAAGGAGAGATTATGGGATGGGGAAATAGGACACTGTGATAGAGACAAGAAACAGTCCACGAAGAAAAAAAATTCTAGAGCTAGGCAAAATATATGATTAGGTTTGATTCTCTAATACAGGTAAATTGCATTTTGAAAAGTAAACATGCCTATTCATTTAAAACTTTTTCAGAGGGATGCCACCGGAAACGACAATTTGCCATTGCTGAGCATTTTGTAGAGGCCACAACTTATTAGATTCGAGATGTCCTAGGTGAGGACACAGCCCAACACCTTGGCTGCAGCACAAAGAAGTGGACTCAGTATAGTCACCAACAAGTCAGTCTCTCTGGACCTGTCCCCGCTGCCTTCGCCACAGGAAACTGGATGAAATCACTGTCTTGCTGTCTCTGGACGCAAATACTCTATGGTTTATCATTTAAACAGCAGAACTGAAATGCAGGTGAGACGAGCAGAATTTTTACTGAAATCTGTCACTGCAGACTTAGGTGACCAGGAAAGTTTCTGGAAAAATGATGGGCTCCGAGTTGATGCACTAATACTAGATACTGCCTAAATAGATGATTATTTATACCTGGTGATTTCAGCAAAACATGGTTCAGGCATCCAATGCCCTTTATCAGTTGGGTCAAACTTGAATTAATAGGAACCTTAAATGAGATTTTTAAGCTTATGAAGGGATTTAAATGCTGTTTTTGTTTGTTTGTATTTTGTTTTCCCACAGGGCAGAGCCTGGCAAGCTACCTGTGGCGGATTTGATATGCCAAAAGCAGTAACAATAATGGATCTCATTCCCCCAACCCTGAAAGAGCCTCCAATAAGGCAGCGTTGGGAAAGACGAGTAAGGAGAGGCTACTAAAATCTCAGGGCTGGGACAAATGGAGCCATTACTGGCACCCGCTCGAGTAAATCGATGAACAACGGGATGACAGTGATACAGTGATGGAGTATTTTGTTTTGGCTTTGGAACCACACCCAGCAGTACTGAGGAGCTATTCTCAGAGTGCTGGGGTCAGGCTGTGGCCTCCGGCATACAGAGCGTGTGGTAGGCCCACTGAGGTCTCTCTCCAGCTCTTCCATGCTATTTTAATTATTTCAGGTGATGTGCTTAGATAGCAGATGTAAATAAATTATTTGGGCAGAGAAATAGTGGAGCAGGTAAGGCGCTGGTTTTGTATGCAGTCAACCGCGTTCAATCCCCAGCACTCCAACTGGCTCCTCGAACCCCACCAGGAGTGATACCTGAGCACAGAGCCAGGAATAAGCCCTGAGCATTGCTGGGTATGGCTCACCCAACAAACAAATAAAAATATATAACTCAAAACCCAAAGTAAACAAATATTAAACCATATAAATTATAAGCATAACTTTAGTATTTATAATTAAGTGTACTGACATGGGCAAGTTATTTTTAATGCAAAAGTAAACAACATGCATTTATAAATAAATGAGAAAAGAGATTTGCTCGAGTGGGCCCAGATATGTAATAAAGCAAATATAGGAAAATTCTAACAAGTATGGAACCCAGATGGTTGGTTTATGGATATTCATTGTAAACTCAACTTTTCAGTATGGCCTGAGATTTTCTAAATTAATTTTAAAATTTTGAGGAGTAATAAGACATGTATTTGGACACATGAAAACTGACAATACCAAAGCAATATAGTTTATTTCAATTATTTTACTGAGCCCAACTTTAAAAAAGTGTCTCATTGGATTAAGTGCCTGGCATTTGAGGTCAACACTTGGAAAAAATAATTATTTAAACTAAACACTTACATTATGACTATGACAAAATCCAATTCCATTGATAATCTGAAACAAATACTTTTGAACTAGTTGATAGTCGAGTCCATTTGGAAAGAGCTCCAAATCATCAAGCATTGTATGGTCGACAAATTCAAAGACTAGGTACCATCGTTTTTTCTTCTTACACACTTCCAAAAGATTCACCAGATTTTCATGTCTGAGTTGCTGTTATTTAAAAAAAAAGAATGATTTTAGAAGATTAAATTATTAGCAACTAGTCACAATCAAAAAATAGATCATCTATGAAAAACAAAATGCATAAATAGTATAAATTATTAAAAACTATATTCTGGTTTTTAAATTATAGTTGAGAGACCTTAATGCTCCATTACCCCATCAGAGAACACAACAAAATCAACAGCAAAAGAAAGTAACTTTTTGTTTGAAAATTTGGATAACTTTTTGAAAAAAATTCAAGGCTGTTAAATATTCAAGGTATTAGATAATGGGGGAAGGGTTATCATTGCTATGGAAGTAATCTTTTTTTTTTTTTTTTTTTTGCTTTGTGGGTCACACCTGGCGATGCACAGGGGCTGGCTCTGCACTCAGGAATTACTCCTGGCGGTGCTCAGGGGACCATATGGGATGCTGGGAATCGAATCCGGGTTGGCTGCATGCAAGACAAACGCCCTACCCGCTGGACTATCGCTCCAGCCCCTGGAAGTAATCATTTTTATACTTGGATTTTGTAGACAGTGTTTGTTCTTGTGCATCAATGTAGTTGGGCACTTGCTCTGTTCAGTCTGATCTTTCATCCAATGATGCTCCCAGCACTGATGTTTCCATTTATTCAGTTACTGGATTGCTCAGCAAGTATCTTGGACAACCTATATTTCTCATTTCTTTAATTATGCTCACTTGGGTTAAGCAAGACTATAAAAATCCACATCTTTGATGCATGGCTTAGAAAATCATAATGATTATTTATGAATAGTAGCCTTTACCTTGAAAAAATGTTAAAAGAAATTCTTCAAACAGAAAATTACAAGTCAGAAACTTTGATCTACATAAAGCATGGAAGAATGCCAAAGATGGAATACATGAAGAATAAATAAAATCTTTTATTATTTATATGCCTAACAAATTGTATTCTCTCTCTCTCTCTCTCTCTCCTTCCCCTGCCTTTCTCTCTCACATTGCCTGGCTCACTTCAAGGTCCTACTCTTCATATCTTCACTGTTTTACTTCTCTTCCTTTCAAGTAGTGGTTTCTTTAATGTATATTTTACTCAACTTTTTAATTTGTCTCAATGTGAGTTCTTATAAATTATTTGGTCTACAGTAAGAAACAGCAGAACTATATGCCCAGAGGTGATATTAAAAGACCCAGAGGTCTGTTTGACAGTCTTCTAGGCCCCAGGAAACAGTTACTATAATCTCGGGGTCATCAAGGAAGGAAGAAAGGGAACATCTTTGGCAGAATATTTTACCTTGAATTCACCCTAAAAATCCACAAACTGTAAATCTGTAAGTCAAGAAGAACCATTCCTAAGTAGGTTCTCTCGAGGACTACAATCCAAATTCAAATCACATTAATCCTGCAAATTGGATTAGATGATGTCAGAATATTAGTGCAACCAAGTTTCCTGGGGTAACCTCAAGTGTTCTCAAGAGCCTCACAGAAGCAAACATAACTCCTCTCAGGGGAAAGAGAACATTATCTAGAGAATCAAGCTATGTAAACAGTATTTTAAAAAATTAACACAGGGCCAGGTATCTGGTTTAGTGGTAGATCTTATGCCTTATATGTTTAGGGCCCTAGGTTTGATCCCTGATACTATAAAAATAAATAACACAGTCATATATCGATGATAGGATTTGATAAAAAAAAATAAATTTGAAGCAACAGGAACAACTACACAAGAGATTTCATTAATACATACTTTAGAAAAGTTATCAATTTAAGGCTCTGGAGCGATAGCACAGTGGGTAGGGCATTTGCCTTGCACATGGCCAACCCGGGTTCAATCCTCAGCATCCATAGTGTCTCCCGAGTACTGCCAGGAGTAATTCCTGAGTGCATGAGCCAGGAGTAACCCCTGTGCATCGCTGGGTGTGACCCAAAAAGCAAAAAAAAAAAACAAAAAAAAAACACAACAGAATAGTTTTTACAGCCAATTGAAGACTATAAGAAAAAAACTAATAAAGATGTTAGAATTAAAAAGTATATCTTGAGGCTGGAAAGATAGTACAGTGGGTATGGTGATTACCTTGCATGCAGCTAACATATGGACACTCAAACTCTTCTAAGCCCCTACAGGAGTGATCCCTGATCACAAAACCAGGAGTAATTCCTGAGCACTGCTGGGTGTGGCCCCAAAGCATATATATACATATATATATGTATATATATACATAAATATGCTGATATAGAATTAAACACACACACACATATATAGAAGCAAACACACGTGTGTTTGCTTCTGTGAGGCTCTTGGGAGCACTTGAGGTTACCCCAGGAAACTTGGTTGCACTACTATATACACACACACACACACACACACACACACACACCCCTCCACCACCACCCCGCTATATATATATTTTTTGAGAAATCGATAGTTAAATAGTAATTGTAGATGTAATTGAAGTAGAATTCCGAATTGGAGAATGATAGGAAGGAAAACATTGAATCAAGAAGAAACAAAAGAACAAAAGATTTAGGAAAATAATATAAGTGAGGAGAAGGCAATCCAAAGTTTGAGTAACTACATTAAATATAAATAAATTAAATACTCCAATTAAAATTCAAAGAGTGGACCAAGAAGATAGCTCTGGACTGGAGCACATGCTTTGCAAGTAAGAAGCCATGGGTTTAATCCCCAATACTACATGGTCCCTCAACTGGAAGCAACCCCTGAGCACTGAGCTCAGGAATATAGTCCCTGAGTTCTGCTGGATGTGAACTGAATAGAAATCAAATGCAGTCTATCAAGTGGAGAAAACAAAAGAATCAACTGCATCTTCTTTTGAAACACATGCCTTACATATATTTCAAAGTATATACCAGGCAATGGACAGCAAGTACTGCAGGTAAGGTGCTTGTTTTGCAAGTAGCCAACCCAGTTCAATCATGGCACCATATATAGCCCCCTGAGTACTGCCAGGAGTGATCCCTGAGCATAGCATTCCTTAACAGGTGACTTGGGAACTGGATTTCAGGATTCCCTTTATTCCCAGAACACATGAAGTAGCTTAGTGTGCTGCAGTACTGTTTATGCTGAAACCCTAATTCAAAAAAAAAAAAAAACAAAATCAGCAACAAAACACCTTGGACTGGTCTAATGAATTTCCTGATAGAAGAAGAGGCTCCTTGCTGAAGGAAATACACGATTCCTGAGCAAGTGTACCAGGAGAGGATGAGAGGAAGCCTGAGTCAGGCCCCTTTGGGGTACATCCCGGGTATCTTTTCCCTTTACTAATTTTGCTTTATGCACCTTAACTTTAATAAATCACAGCCGCGAGGCACTGCAGTGTAGTTCAGTGATAAGGGTGTAGGTTTTGCATTGTGTGAGACCGGGATCTGATCCCTAACACTTAAAAATAAGGCCATCGCCACAAGTAAACGACATGTTGAGTTGCAGGCACTCCTATGAAGCATTAAACCTTGAGGTAGTTACCGGTACCCCCAAGATACGATAGACAAAGAAACAGCCTGATAAATACAGGAGGCAGCAACAAATACTGTTAAAATTATGTTTATGTTCGTGATAATCATTTTGTTTGTCTAAATGTTATTATAAAAACACACAAGATTCCTGTACTTATTTTTGTGCTGGAGAGATAACACAGACAGTAAGACGCCTTGTACGTGGCCCATCTGGTTCAGAGCCCGATACCCCATCTATGCCACAAACTGGCATCTATGCTACAAAGTGCCAGTCCTGAGCACTGCAGAGAGTGTCCTCCCCAGATACACAGAAAAATATATATATATATATATTTTGCTTTTTGGGTCACATCCAGCAATGCTCAGGGGTTACTGCTGGCTCTGCACTCAGGAATTACTCCTGGTGGTGCTCAGGGGACCATATGGGATGCTGGGAATTGAACCCGGGTCGGCCGCATGCAAGGCAAACACCCTACCCACTGTGCTATCGCTCCAGCACCCACAGGAATAAATCTTAATCAGGAAAACAAAAACCTTTTTTTTCAACTCAGTGTATTTACTTACCTTTAGTAGTTTGATTTCTCGCATAGCGATTTTTTTCACCATTTTGTCATCATCACTTTCTAAGAACTTCTTGATGGCTACAATTCTTCCGCTATCTTTATTCCTACACTTCATCACCATTCCATAACTCCCTTCTCCAACCAAGCCTAGGGTCTCATATTTTTCCATTTTGATTCAAGACCAAGGTTTTCCTCGCTGTGGAAACCAAAACATAGTTAATGGTGTTGAATACAAATGTAATAATTCTGCCACAGAATTAACATTAATTCTTCCCTACTTGTCTTCCTGTAGTCACTGTATTGCATGCTAGCAGGTGCTGACTCATAATTTCTTCCTGCTTAAAAAATATCTACACTGTTGAAAAAATACTTACCCACATCTCATATCAGACAAGGCCAACTGAACTGCTTCACTTTCAGCTTCTAAATGATGTAGTAATAAAATTCATTGTTTTTAATTCAGAAAAAAGCAATAATTGAATCATATTATAAAACAATTCTATGTCGCTTTAGAAAACAAAAGTCCTGTTCACTTAGGACTTTTAGGTGAAAATGACACAACTGAATTTGGTTTTAGTCTAGATCAATTTTATTTTTTTTACAATAGGCTTAAAAGAACAAAGCTGAAAGTCTTTATGCCCTTCAATTGGGAAATTGTTCATAATATGATCATTTACAAGTTAGCAAGAACCTTTGGAAAACTTTACTTTGTCACTCTAGCAATTGAATTTCTGTACTGAACTTCAAGATGGAGCAACAGTACAGCAGGTAGGGCACTTGCCTTGCATGTGACCCACCAGGATTTGATTCCAGGCATCCCATATAGTCCCCTGATTCCGCCAGGAGTGATTCCTGAGCACAGAACTAGGAGTAAACCTTGAGCACAGCCAGGAATGGCCCCAAACAAATATCCCTCCCTTCCAAATCCCTCCCCCAAAATAACAGCAATGTCACCCCAGTATATAAGCACTGTAGCACTGTAGCACTCTCCTCCTGTTGTTCATCGATTTGCTCCAGCGGGCACCAGTAACGTCTCCATTGTGAGACTTGTTGTTACTGTTTTTGGCATATCGAATACGCCTGGGTAGCTTGCCAGGCTTTGCCGTGCAGGTGGGATATTCTCGGTAGCTTGCCAGGCTCTCGGATAGGGGCAGAGGAAACGAACCCAGGTTGGCAAATTCCCTACCCTCTATGCAAATGCAAGGCAAATGCCCTACCCGCTATGCTATCGCTCAGGCCCAGTATATAAGCAATTTCTTTAAATATTAGTACAAGCAGATACATCCTTTAATGATTCCTCACGATTAGTTTGAACATTTGGGACCAGAGGAATAGCTCCGTAATGTAGAGCACTTGCAAGTTTATAGTCATGAGTTCAAATCCCTGGTGCTGTCATGTGCACTGAGCCTTGAAACTCTATTGTTCGAGCCTGGCAGCTCTATCTGGTATCTTTGGTGCCACAATTTCTGCCTGCACCAGAGCCAGATGTGTACAAGAGGGCATGACCTCCCGTGAGCACTGCCACTGGAAATGATCTTTCGAGAAGCGAGGGGAGATTGCTCAAGTTCATGCTTAAGTTCAAACTTGGTACACTCGGAGCCCCTGGCTTGCCCCCCCCCCCCCGCCCCCGCACATAGCTAGGAGTGGGCATCAGGCACTAAGCGGAGTGCAGCCAGCCCTCGAGCACCACGACGTGTGGTTCCCACCGAGGACACGTGTGAGTACCACAGGGAGCCTGGCAAGAATTCCAAGCGGGACTCGCAAGCTTCAAATAAGGAATGCCACGCCCTGTGAGCCAGTGAGGACACATCAAAACTAACGGCACACGAGTCTCACGGAGCGCCTGAGTGAGGACCACGACTAAATGTGCGAGCACCAGTTCAGGCATGCGACCCTCACTCATTCTTGACGCTGCCACCACCACCAACAACGGGAATGAAGAGGGGAGGGGTTTATTTTTAAGTTGGATCATTCGAACTTGGTGTTTTGAAATCCTAAACATTTCATTGTATGACATTTCCTGGATAAAGGTAATTCTAGTAAATTCTTTCTTACCTTATGAACGACTAATGAAGGGCCAGAAATTATTTCTACTACTTAATTTGGGACAGGAAAAAAAAAACTCTACAAAATTAAAGGTAGAATTTTACTCATGGATAGAGTGTTATGAAATATAAAAGCTGATAAACAAAAACTTTAAAGTTATTTTTAAGCTTTGATTTTCTTTTCTTCTTTCTTTCTCCCTCCTTCCTTCTTTCCTTTCTGCAGTGCTGGGGATGGAACCCAGGCTTCACATAAGCTAGACAAGTGTTCTTCCTCTGAGCTACATCCCAAGCTTAAAATCTGGTTTTGAAATTAAATGTTAGAAGCAACGATTAAAAACTCCTACTCCCAATATGGTTCTGGAAATTTGGGGAGAAAAAATCTTTTGGTAACTATATATTCAAATGATTCATTGCTGATAATTTAATTTGACAATATAAAATTACTCATTAGTATAAATCACAAAGAACAAAATTCTTACCTATCATTCATCATATTATGTGCATACATCAATCTAAAACCAATTTGCCAAGACTGTGAATTATGATTTTTCTAAATATGTGGTTTCCTGTGCCAGAGAGATAGTACAGTGGGGAAGGTGCCTTGTATGCAATTGACCCAGGTTCAATCCCTGGCACTCCAATGCCCTGAGCCCTGCCAGGAGTAAGCCCTGAGCATCACCAGATGTAGCCCCAACACCAAAAATGAAATAAAATAAAGGTTTTCTTTTGATAACAAAAACAAAACAAATACATTCCTGTTTTAGCAATGCGTGCAATCTGATGTATGTATTTTTAGCCCTTTACACTTAATAGTTTGGGTTTCTTTTCTCTAACAGATATAAATACTACTTTGTATAGCAATACATGGAAACCAAGAGATTGATCTTGGGGTTAGGAGGGGGGAGACCTGAAAAATTCTAATTAATACCAACTCCAATTACTTCATTATTTTAGTACTTTTTGATCGTCGATTCTATTAAAAACAGGGTTATAGCAGTGTCTCTGACACTGATTTCCAAACATTTGGCATATTAATATATTTTGCATCAACTTTGTTGTTGTTGTTTTTGGGCCACCTTCGTAAGGTGCTTAGGTTTATTCCTGGCTCTGCACTGCAGGATCATTTCTGGTGGCCTCCTGGAACCATGTCGAGTGTTGGGTCCCCAGGATCAAACCCAGGTCAGCCACTTGCAAGGCAAATATCCTACTGACTGTACAATCGCTCTGTCCCCGAAGACACCTGTTTTATTAAGTATTAGACTTTATCTTTCTCCCGTTTTCTCTTTTTTTCTTTTTACTTTTTGGGTCGATGCACAGGGGTTACTCCTGGCTCTGCACTCAGGAATTACTCCTGTCGGTGCTCGGTGGGATTCTGGGAATTGAACCTGGGTTGGGTCACGTGCAAGGCAAACACCCTACCTGCTGTGCTATCGCTCCAGAGCAAGTATTAGACTTCAAATTTATCATATCAAGGACATAAAGTAGTTGGAATCTATATAAAATGGATCATTCACAGTTTGCAACCGATGTGCGCATATATCAAATTGCAAAATGAACAAAATAGAATTTATCATAAGCATGTTGAGATTTTATAAGCATGTCACAAGATTTGCACGCAAGTGATATACTTGAAATTTATTCTCACAGCCAACAGTACGTTTGGTCGCCACACACCAAACATGCCTGCTCGCTCAAGTGGTACTGCCCACAAATACCTTACAATCATTGCACCTAAAGGTGGGTGACATTATATATAAAGCCCCACAAGCTTTAGACAGTAACTCACAAACTGGATCTTCAGCCTTTTTCACTCCTAAGTATAAGAGTACTACCAGCTTAAAAAAAAAAAAACTAACTGGCCAATGGCAATGTAGTATTTCTGCACACGAGCTATGTAAGCCAACATGTCAACAGTTGCAATCATAATTTAAACGACAATGCCAACAATTTCAACCATAAAAATCATGCCCGTTTATGTTAAACACAGATTAAAATCTAGTTTCGCTAAAAGCACGAGAAAACAGAAGCTTTAAAAACTATTATACTTACGATTTCTTAAAAAAAAAAAAAAAAAGAAAGAAAAAAAAAAAGGCTTTCCTAAAGCCTTTTTAAAGCCCCAAAGGTTTTCAACTCGGAAACAAACTGGAGGTGAAATGCATCTCCCTCGCAGGTCTAAAAGATGCCGACTAGTGACTGGCAATTGCAGCGCCGTGGCGATGGATTTCTTCTGCGCACACAGCCACGGGTCCGAGGGGAGGCAGCAGAGCCTCCGCCCTCCGCGAGCTCAAGCGCGCCTGCACCGCCGGCCGCATGCTGCGGTTGTCAAGGCAACGACCTCACTCTGTCCCCAGCCATCGGCTCAGTGTCCAGAGAGAACTGCAGCGCAGGTCAGGATGCGTCCGCGGCAGGCACCCACACCTGTTAGACCGGAACCTGGAAAGCAATGAGCTGGGCCGGGAGGGCACCTGCTACGACTCGGAGGGTGCCCGAGCCCCGGGGCTGAGAACCCGCCGGGTTCGCAGCAAGCCCAAGGCCAAGGCGGCGGCCGCTGAGCTGCAAGGGGCGGATCCTCCCCGCCCAGATCCGCCCTTGGCCCGCCAAGCCTCCCTTGATTGGTCCGTCCGTGTCGTTAGGTTCTCTGATTGGCTTGGCTGCAGCAGCCCACTCCTCACCTGGGGCTCCGCCCTGGTTCTGTTCTCCCAGGCACCGGGTTCTGCACACCTAGGGCCTCAGTCGAGCGGGCCCGTTCTGACTTCACATGCAGACCCTCTGTCCGCTCTGCCCACGAAGGCGAGTCCGGTGCCCACCGAGAGGGCGAAGATGGTGATGGTTTTGCAGGAGTGGGAAAAAGTGCAAGGGCGGATTATGCAAAGAGCGCGATGTCGTGCTCCCCAGCGCTTCCCTGCTGAGACCCGTAAGCGGGGGAGGGGTCAGCGCCCCGCTACCGGGGTTTGGACCGGCTTGCAATCGCTCCTTTCTTTCCGGTCGAGGCGTGGAATAAGTGTGATCTTTCTGAAATAAGTGGGAGATGAGAGTGACAGCCTAGGTGATGATTAGCAGCGAGGCAAAGGAAGGTAGGCTACAATACAACTGCCCTTAGGAAGGACCTGAGCGGACAGACTGAGCACTGAGTGAGGGGCACTCT